AAAAATAATAATATATATTAATTTTAGTTCAAAATAAACTTGTGTACATTAGTCAAAAAAAAAAAAAGGCTGCATGCACCAGATTTAGCAGAAAGCTAATTTTCATTTGCAGTCCCATTTATTTACATTGCTTTCTGTTTTGTTTGTTTGTTTGTTTGTTTGTTTGGGGTTTTTTTTGTTCAATTTATTGTATCAAGCACATTGTTTGCATTGGAAGGCATTTAATGGTGTGAATCTAACGTTAAAGTTGGTAAAATTGCTCCCGTTACTGCATTATTGCTTTATTTCCCTTCTGTTTACATTTGACATGCTGTGGAACCCCACAGCCACGTAGCGTCATGTGGGCGTAGTTTGTAGGGGCGTGGTTTGTAGCGGCTGTGCCTTGGCTCCGGCTGCAGTCAGACCTTTCTCGGTTAGTGACCATCGACTGTACACTACTTTTTACGGTGCATTGTGGGATATTTTGAGTGCACTATATAGTGGATGAAATTTACAGCTGAGAATTCGAACAACACTACAAAATGGCGTGCACCCTATATAGTGCACTATGTAGGGCATAGGGAGTGATTTCGGACACAGCTCAGGTCTCACCCAACTGAACACCTATGGTGTGGCGGTTATGGACACGTTTCATTGTTTGCGTCGGATACCTGTGGTTTTTCTGTGTGTCTTTAACTTTCAGGCTGGGCGGGGCCGATCGGAGGAGGACGCTCCCTCACCGGCACAGCTGTGGCTCATCGTCTGATCAGCAGACAGGATAAAGCCTCTTCTCACTTGGGCTGTGTCCGAAATCACCCACTCACTCCCTATATAGTGATCACTATAAAGTGCACTATATAGTGCACCTCGGCAAAGTAACATTTCGGACACTACTCGCGCAATTAATTACATCACTCGTTAGCAGCGATTTGTGCTGCAACAGCGTAGCACAAACACATCAAATTCACAGTTTATTGCGTAGCTAAGAAATAAAGTTCTATTCTATTCTTCCTGGTGACCCATTTCCCCTGGATTCCCCTGAAATAAACCTGTTCCTTCTCCCTGTCTCCTCTTCGTTTGGGTTCTGCACGCACACCGAGCGGCCACGAGCCGTCACATATGGGAGATTTTAGATAAATGTGTTAGACAGCGGTCTCTACCACTGTCATTAAAACACCAAATGAGGAAATATTTGTTGGAGGATTGTTCTTCCAGAGACTTGGAGAATTCCATGGGGTGGCTTAACACCCTAATAACACACTTTATGTTGTTTGTTTCTTTAGAGTGTTGGTACTCACCTTGGCTTCAGTGTCCAGCAGGGGGCACTCCTGCAGGCTCTGGTCAAGCAGACACATCTCTTTGATAGCATAGCCACTGACACAATAGGCATCGTAGTTGCTGCCCAGCAGTAGGCTACACAGCAGGGTAGCAAATTCAAAACAGGTAGCCCGCTGCCTCTTTAGCACTGTGGTGGAGGAGAACAGGTGCCTGGGCTGGGACAGGACACACACATCACTGTCAGGCATACACACTGAAGAGGAGTCACATTTTGCAAATTTTAACATAGGCCTGAGCATTGTAGGATTTTTATGGAAGATTACCTTCCTGACAGGCTGTGTCATTTTATAGAAACACTTCACTCAATGATAGTCATAGTCAGCCAATACCATACTACCGTATGTTAGAGCATGGTAGAAAAGGATGTCCCAATATACAGTATATCATATGCCAAAAATACCAAAATGTCCTACGACGTAGCTGCATCCTGTAGAAAAGAAATTCTGCACTTATCAGCAAAACTGGCACCATATCTGACTCAGCTGTGGCCCATGGCCACGTGACAAAAATGCTGTGAATTTTCAGCTGAACTGCAGGCTGTGCTTACACTTAAAAAATCAAAATTGAGATTGAATTTGTCTTAATGTTTTTCCCACCAGTTTCACACCACGAAGAATATAATTCAGACCAGTTTTCATAAGATTTCATAAATGTTTTAACACTTTTCAAACTAGTTTTATAACATTTTACACCATTAAAAAAAATAAAATAAATAAAAATCACACCAGGTTTAGAACAATTTCAACCAGCTTTTTGGGTTTTTTCCCCCCCACCAGTATCAAAATATTTGACACTAGTTTTTATAATGTTCCAGACAAGTTTTAACACATATTACACCACTTTTTGAACATTTTACACCAGTTTCAGAAAGTTTTTGTGTATTTTTAGAACATTCTGCTACAATTTTTAAGGGTTTACACCAGATAACATTATTTTCTTACGTACCAGATAACTGATTGTGAAGGGACCAAAATGTCCCATACACTGTCGATCTCACTGTCGTACTTGTTTTATCAAGGTTTTTCCTGTATAGTAGCACCCTACAAGGGGGTTATAGACAGTACCAAGGAAAATCACCAGCACCAAAATGATAAGAATTGAGAATAAAAAATAGCAATTTAAGTTTTAATCAACTTTGTTGATTGGGGATTTATTTACAAAATTTTATAGACATTTTTGTTAATTGAATGGTCAGAAATGATTTTTAAAAAGCACAGTTGTTGTACACGTGAATGCCACTGTTACTGTGCCTCCCAAAGCCCATTCTGAGCAGGAAAAACCCAGGAAAGACCCTGCATATTCGAATAAACTAAACCAAATGTCATGACCCCCCAGCCTTGGCCCCAGCCCTTGCCTGTCTCCCTCCTCTCTATCTCTCTTTCCTCTCCTTGCTCACCCTCTGTCACTCCAGCCCTGCTCAGCCTGCCTGATTGCAGATATTGGAGACAGCTGTGCATGGGGATCGGCTCACCTGCACTCCATCTTCCACCTCCTGCAATAAAAGCCCTGCTCAGTCCACCACACCCAACCAGACCATAGATGTTCATCTCATGTTTCTGCCTCTGATCCCCAACCTGCTTTCAACTGGATTTCCCTGAACCAGCCTGTACCTCCCCCCAGCTTTGTTCTAACTTTTTCCCAACCCTCACCAGATCCAAAAATTCCCTGAGCCTGTCTGCCCCTTCAGTTTACCTTGTATTGTATCTCTGTTTTGTTGTTCTAGTTTTGTTTTTTTTTTTACATTACTTTCCTTAGGTTCCCACCCTTGGTATTAATGTGGAGTATTTCACAGGTTTTTGTAATTTTGCCCCTTTTCTGATTTCAGTCTGGTTTTCCCTGTTCTATTTCCCCCCTCTACATTGGTTTCTGGTAAATTTGTCATTTAATAAACTCTCTCATTTAATTCACCTGTCTGTGTCTGCACCTGGGTTCCCAGATCCCCCATGACACCAAAAGCAGTGGTTGTTCAGTAGTTGCACAGTAAGGTGATCAGGAATCACCAACATAAATGCTTTCTATATTTTATGTAAAGTAATTTAAATTGCTATATAAACAAACTTGCCCTTGTCTTACGACAGTACCCAATTTGAGTTAATGCACAAACAGTAGCTTCCGCTTTTCAGAACAATTACATGTCATCTCTAATAGTTTGACTTGTGAACGTCAGACTACTTAAGTCAATCGCAACAGCACATGGATTTGGGTGCCCTTGCAGGTATTTCCAAATTATTTCACATACGTTTCCTAAGATCTAAGTTTGTCAATCATAATTAGGATTTACAAGTCAGAAACTGGTAGTTACATTATCTCCATGACATAATGCAGCATTATGATAGAAACCTTCTCTGACACATCCATTACTACATAAGCATCAAACACTTGCTCAATGCGGGTGTTAAAACGCAAATATGGCATAGAAACAACTTCAGAGACAAGTGGGTGAACCTATTTTCTCGGTTTCCTTCCTTACCAGATGCACAGGCGGCTCCAAAGGCTCCAGGGTCAGAAAGTTGGCCACAAACAAAGCACAGCCCTGCCAGGTCAAAAGTTCAGGGGGGACCATTGTGGTGGGCCGGACTGTCGTCGACACAAACTTCTGAATGTCAGGAAATACACAGTTGTAGGATATGGACAGACACAGATGCCCAAAAGGATTTAAAAAAAAAAAACAACTTAATTTGAACTTTCCAGCATCCAAGTCACATGCCATAAAAAAGACAAAACTGTCCTGCAGGTCACAGCTCCATGTAAATCAGCTCTGCAGACTCGGAGGAGTGAGGAAGCAGAGCTCCCTTAGGAATTCCCTTATCACACCTATCGGAGCTTCAAAGGATCTAACGCAAAGAAGCTTTTGGGGGAAGACAAAGAAAAACATTGAACACCACTCAGACCTTAATAAGTGGTCCAGATGGCCAGGCGCAATGAAGTGCCCCGGGCTTAACGTATTGCTCTGCTGACCCCTCATTTCCTGTGGCATGCAACAAAGGAACCTAACAACTAAAACTCATGGATAAACAATAAGACACAGCACCAGAAGATGTGCCTTATTATCTTGTGTTACGTTTAATTGTTAAATGTTATGTTATACCATGTCCTGATAAATACTCCAAAGCTTAATTACAGTTGGATAAGTCCTTCTTTAAATTATCAGCTTGTTATATAACCATATCCTAAGCATTGTGTTATTTCTGTAACCGTCAGAGATAGATTTATCATGTTTAGACTCCCCGTGAAGCTCTACATGTGACACATTAATTTCCAACAAACTTAACTTTGTATAATTGAAAGTACATATAGTTCTGAAGGAACATTGTTACTTTCAGAGCAAGACTCTGACCACCTCATGACCTCCCTGTGATACTTGAGTGTCATATCTAACAGCCCCCCTGGGAGCGGAGCTCGCTGTGATTGGTCAGTCGTTTTACTATTAAAAAGCCTCTTCACCCGAAAAGCAGTGGCATTCTCTAGCGGCTTCTTCTAACTGCAGGAGAGATGCTCACTTTGGGGCATTCTCTAGCGGCATTCTCTAACTGCCGTAGAGCTGCTCACTTTGGTCCAATGTAGCAACTTCAACTGCCACACCCTAATCCAACTCAAGCTGAAGGCCTCGTCTCCCAGACGCTGCTGCACCCGGGAAACTGCAAGTATCAAGCTTCTGTCTGTAAACGGGTGTTTTATGATTACAATTGGCCTTCCGACCAATATTCCAAATTTAACAGATTATCTGCTGCTTCAGGTGAAAAGACTTTTAAGTCTCCAAGCCATCACTCTGTTCCACATTAGGTTTTCACATTCATATTTCTCAACCAGCATTTTCATCATTGTTTGTATTTTATATTTTATGTTTGCTGTTGTTATTTGTTTGTTTGTTTTAGTTAGTAATAAATGTTGTGTGTGTGTGTATACAGTTGTTTCCTGTGTTTTCTATAGCTTACATCCAGTCACTTTACATATCTGATCTTTAGTTACCTAAGCTCTAAGTTAATTCCCTTAACTTTATAAAACACTCTTGATTGATCACCAAGAGTAAACAATTTATTAGAATTATTATGCTGACTCTGAGATTATATCGCTGGACGAATAATTCAAAGGTTGGTTTTAATAATTGTAATTAATGCAATCACTTGCTTTAGTGTGGGGAAATAAGTATATCTTATTTTCTACCACACTGAAACCCTACACAGTATTAAACCAAGATTCACACAGTATTTGTTTTATGTGATTGTCAGTGTTACCTTCACACCACATTCGTTGACGGGGCAGAGCAGCAGCAGTTTGCGATCAGGAAACAAGTGGGAGTACTGATGCTGGAAGTTGTCAGCGATGGCCAGCAGCCGGATCTCACTGATAGAGTTTATCCTGTAGGACTCAGGGCTGGAGAACGACAGCAGAGGAAACACACTGAATTATTACAGTCACCACACCTTTTACCCACCCTCACACTAAGACACCTGCAACAATGCAATTAACAAATCAAAGACTCAAATTTAGGATACGTTCTGTAACACATTTGACCAACGGTTTATGTTTTATCACTTTACTACAAAATGCCCAATACTTAGATTCCACTCTTCAGTCATGAATGACTGACCTTTCACTGTCAGAGACTCAATACAGAAAGGTCCTATTTTCTCAAAATTTGATTTTTTATTAAATCAGCACAGTTGATTTGATGGTGTCATGTAATAATGCTCTATTACATATTCTAAAACAAATACTGAGCTGAAGCCTGATTGTAAACTGTATTGAAAATCACAATATCTGCCAGAAAAATTGCAAAATATATATTTTAGAATAGCATAGAATAGAATAGAACTTTATTTATGTTATTATTTAATTATTCATTTCCCCATATTGTTCAATCCTACTATAAGGTGTAAACATGTATGTTCATAAAATCTGCATCTTGTGGCACTCAAAAGGCATTGGGTTCATTTGTGAGGTCAATATACCTGTTCATGGTGGAATACTGAGCACTTTTTTGTCTCTTGCCTTTCAGGTTCAATGTGTTTTCTGCAAAACAAATCTACCCACAGGTATTAATAAAGTAACCTTGAACCTCATTGACTCAATAACTTTCAGAATTGTAATTTTTTTTCCTTGAATGCAGGAGTCGACTGATATCTATAACCAAATGTTATAAATATCTGGATTAAAAAGTGGGATTAGTCACAGTGTAAAAAACTACTTTGTTGAAGTCTGTAAGTTTAATTTGGGAAACTCGGCTATTAAAGTTCATACAAAGGTTGCCATAGTTTCCAGCAGTAAAATACAGTGCAGTGCCTTCAGTCTGTTCTGTGTCTACCCTGATCTAAATTGCCAGTTGTTTCACCCTCACATTTAACAACTGACTGATATTTGTCATTTTAAGAATGATTTAAAAGGTAATGGTCATGTTACTCTCTGAAGTTTCTACCCCTCGACACCTCCTTGCCACTATTTTCCTGTGTGCTTATGATGCTCACAGAAGTTGCAACTCTGTCAGCTCTGTGCTGGCCTCCTCCTCCTCCTTGCTCTGCTGGATCTCTTCATTTCTGATTTCCACCTTGCTGTCCAATCCCGGTGCAGCTGCCATCCTTTACACAAGAAGTAAGTGTATTTACATGCATCTATTTACACACACAAAACAGTAAAGACACAGACAATCAAGCAAGTAAGTTTGTAAAGCTGTTCCACTGGATTTCTCTCATGGAAGGATACAGCATAAAGGCCATAAATGTGTTAATCATCTTTACATTATTCAATTATCGTCACTGCTCCAAAGAATGGTTAAAGAAGAATATAGCACATACTGGGCGTCAATAAAACGCTTACTGAGATCAAGATATACGCAGAACTGAATAAGGCAAGGATATGGAATAAGAGAATAACCATACAAACATTAAAATAGTACAGAACTTGTTTTTTTTTTTTTTTTATTCCACCGTGAAGCCATTAACTTATTTCAGGGACCAGTTTTTGGTCAAATTTGGTAATCGTGCAAATTGTGCTTATATATAACTACAGTGAAACTAGTAAATCATTCTAAAATTGTGATACACTCGAGTTACACTTGAGTTATTTTGGATCATTTTTGAGTGATTCTTGGCAGGACTTTAGTTTTTTTTGTCATGCTTGAGTCATTTGTATAAGTTTGGGGTGACTTTGGACACGTTTTTGTCAGTTGGGGCAGATTTTGTGTCATTGTAGACAAATTATGAGCCATCTTGGACAAGTTTTTGTTACCTCTGGATAAATATTGAGTCATTTAGAACACCTTTTTGGCCATTTTAGACAAGTATTTGGTCATCTTTTGAGTCCTATTGAACAGGTTTTGGTAATTTGGGGAAAATTTGTAATTTTGAACAGATATGGGTTATTATAGACAAGTTGTAGGTCATTTTGGATAGGTTTATGTAATTTTGGACAGTTTATGCATGTTGGGTTTTTTTTGTTTTGGACACTTTATAGTCATTTAGGACAGTCATTTTAGACAGATTTTGATAATACTGTACAACTTGTGATTCATTTGGAAAGGTTTGAATCATTGAGTAATTTTGGAAAAGTTTGAGTCATTTGGACAAGTTTGGAAGCATTTTAAACGAGTTTTTCGTCAGTTTTAATGTATTTCACCATGATCGTCAGCTGCTTTGACAAACGGAAACAAACCGATGAGTACGTCGCCGTTACATTCAGCTAACGGATAAATCACTGTCCTAAAAACTATTTTAATGCTCATTTGAACAAGTCAGAGTTTACTTACTTATAAATTAATCGATTTTCTCGGAGAATCTGCTCGTTAACATGCGTATATTCCTGCTCAACTGTTGAAACTTGGAGAATTACGCTTGCACCGTGTCCATGGTAACAGCAAGACGTGACGACGTAACGCTACGTTGCCTTCAGGTACCCTGCGAGATACTAAAACTTTAAACCAGAAACGCCGCTTTTAAAGTGCAAACGGCCGAATGTGACCTTCACGGACTGCAGCTCACAAAGGCAGTTATTTAATGTCTAAATAAATATTGCACTAAGAAGCACTGACATATTATAATATACAGTATACACTCTTTTCGACAGTTCCTCTGTATTACTGACTCCATAGGGGTTTCCTTTTATCGTTTTGGCTTCACAGCTGATTTTCTGCTGTCGCGCATGCGCTTTACAGTCGCCACAGTATGACGAGTGCAGCACAGACTTCTCGCCAGAGGTAAACAAGCTTTTATGTCGCTCATTTGACATTCAGCGCTCTAAATCACATTTTAACAGCGGCATTAGGTTTATTAGGGCTTCCCTGTCCATGACAGCTGACCGGCCGACATGAACCTTGCAACCGCTTGCAGCTGTTACTTTGACTTTTCAGCTTGAGCTAGTTCACCTCAGCAGGCTAACAGTTAGCTGCTTTAGCTTATGTGTTCACAGTCAATGGACAGCAGATACAAATGCACTACATCAGTGAAACATTTGGTTGTCCTTTTCCAAAAGCGCTGCAGTTCACCCGCGTGTGACTTTCAAGCGTTCTGCCTTTTTTTGTGCTATTTGAGGCTAACACTTAACAGATAGCATTAGCATTGTAGCCGCTGTCAAATAGCTGTCCCGTCTCCCGAGGGGCGGGACTGTGTTGTAACGGACAGCGACGATGGCCAATGAGAATTCAGAGGGTCAATCTGGAGAGCCAATCAGCTTGTTTTTCCAAGAACGCTGACAAAGCAGGCAGAAATATCCACCAAAAAAAAGTCTTCGCCAGAGTTTCTCTCATTCGTCACACGCTGCTTTAAATTTTCACCCCTATTCTCATAATTCAGACTGCATTTGTGAACACTTTTAAAGTACAAAGTCTGGCTGCGACCGTTACCGGAGACGTTGGCGACGTCATTGCATGTCTGCAGTCATCAGTGAAGCGTACAGCAGACGTCACAGTTAAACACAAACCAACTGTGTGTTGTCTTATTGTTTTTCATTAGTAAAACATCCCTGTTCCTACCTATTACATCTCTGTTACATCTCTGTCTGCTGTCATGTGAGAAATACAACAATGAGATGGTGCTTTCTTACTGGCTTTGGACACTGATGTTGATTTGGATAAATAACTCAGTCAAATGCCATATTAATACCTTAGTGCTTGAAATTCATCTTTCACCATCAGCACATTCAATTGCAAATGTAAAGCTTTACATTACAGGCCAAGCATTTATTAAGCCACAGACAAGGGAATAGTTATTGCTACAAAATGCACATGTAACAGACAAGTCAGGATCCAGTGCATTGCAAAAGGGGTCATTTATTCTAGTAAGGCCTTACTTGCATCTGAGAACTTGAGGGAAGCGTTGCTATCAAAATTCCCTTGAGGATACAACCAACGCAAAGAAGTCAGGTCTATGTTCTTCCAGAGATTAAAGCTATTAATTTCCCACAATGGATCAAAAATAAGGTAATGACTAGAATAAAACAAACAAAACAATTAACAAAATAAAAGGAGTTAGTCTGCCCCTACAAGATGTCCTCCCAGGTCTTTTCATGTGCAGGCCACGCACGGCCATGTGGACAAACTCAGCAAACAAATCTCACAATCAAACTATAGATAACAGAGTTAGCATGCTAAGCAGTCACTGTGAAAAGCACAGATGGTAGGCAAAAGTAGTGATTAGACAAATGATTAAACATTTCCAGCCTGAAATAAAAATGATTTTGATGTGCATCATTTAAAACCACAACGAACTGTGTTATTCTTGTACACTTGCTATGTCAGTGTCACTCATGCCATGCAATAAAGTGAAGTCTTCATTGAAACTTGTGTGGTGGCACAGAAATCCCTCAGGAAGGTGTGAGGCCAAGTGTCTTGACCGTAGATCTCAGCTAAGCTCAAACAAACAGAGTGTAGATTTACTGGTTTTTCCTCTGTTTCTGCCAGATGAAGACACCTCCTGACAGATCGGGAATCACCTTTGAGGTTGGAGCTCAGCTAGAAGCCAGAGACCGTCAGAAAAACTGGTCTGGATACACACACACACACCCACAGAGCAAAATAGATCGTATGTTTTCCAGTAAATATGGTTGATCTGATTGAACACAAGCCACACTAAGGCGCTTTATTTTACAGGTGTGTTTTGTGGAAACACAGTAGAAATCAGTTTGTCACTATATCAGCTGAGCGGGTGAAGTTTTATAGCATGGAATAAGTTTTATTTATTGCAGTTCAAAGTCATGATGAACCCGACTTAAGATAAATGTTTTTACAAAACTGAATGATAATTACTACAATGATCAAATAATACTACAAATAATTACTGCAAGGTGACTCGGTGGTTTGCAATGTTGCCTCGCAGCTTAGAAGGGTGCCAGTTCACGTCCCTGTGAGGACACCCGGGATCTTTCTGTGTGGGGTTTGCATGTTCTCCCCGTGCAGCGTGGGTTCTCTCCGGGTTCTCCGGCTTCCTCCCACACAGTCAAGAAACATGTTGAGGTTCATTGGTGATTCTAAATTGACCGTAGGTGTGAATGTGAGTTTGCTTGGTTGTCTTTCTCTAAGTATAGCCCTGCGATAGACTGGCAACCTGTCCACGGTGTAGGGCTGGTCTGAATAGCAATTTCTGTTCTCCAGATATTCGGCCCCAATTAATGACTAATATCCCGAATATTTGGGGGTGCCGCGTGGTGGTGGCGGGTGGGTATTCGTTCCGACGGGGGGGACTTTTTTTTTAAAAAACTTGTTTAATGAATTATTTCAGCATTTTGCCTGAAAATCGCAAATATAATAAGCAGGTAACTGTGAAAACTTTCCCTTTATACTTAGTGCCAAATTTTCAAGGACTTTCTTGGAAATATCTGTCAATTTACAGTTGAAAACCAGCTAATTTTAAATTAGTTATGAAACTATAAAGATTTTTACCGGAAATTATTTGGAAAATAATTTGCTTTAACAAAATCTACATACTCAAATACATCTGCTGGGACACACATGTTCAAAAAGGGATTATGCAGTTAAAAAACAGATATTTTTGTCTGAAGTTTTTTGAAACTTCAAAGCAGTTTATATTTAAAATTTGACAATTTAAATGTTTTTCTTCACGTCAGGTACACAGCCACAATTGAGAGGATTGACTACGACAAAGAGCGTGTCTTGATTCACTACAAACAGTGGAGCCGGCGCCACGATGAATGGTTTCAGTGGAACTCGCCGTACCTTCGGCCTCTTGAGCGAGTCAGCCTGAGGAGGCAGGGCCTGAACCCGCCACGATCTCAACCGGTACATTAAGTATAAACTAGAAAGTTTTTTTAATGCTATTTTTTTAAAACATAAAAACTCAAAGAACACCCAAAGTAATAACATCAAAACAAGAGTCACAGTCTTAGTCAAAGTTTAAGTAAAAGAACAGCTGCTACGTTAGCCAGTTTGGGCTAATATAGAAGCTACATTAGCTTTTTTTATGCTAATGTGGAAGCTACATTATGTTGTTTAGGCTAATGTTGCGGCTACAGTATCTTGTCGAGGCTAACATTGTCATGTTTAGGCTAATGCAGTGGCTACATTATCTTGTTTAGGCTACTTTTTACTTCTTTAGGCTAATGTTAGTTTTCTTAGGCTACTGTAGCAGCTAATGTTGTCTTGTTTAGGTTAATATAGCAGGAAATGTCTTGTTTAGGCTACTTCAGCATCTACATGGTCTTCTTTAGGCTATCATTGTATTGTATAGGATACAGTAGTGAATAAAATTACCTTGTTTAGGCTAACCTTATCATGCTTAGGCTAAATTATCGAATGACATTCTCTTCAGATGTCATTACCTTGTTGAGGCTTACATCTGTTGTAGCGAATTACATTATCTTGTTTAGGCTACTATAGTGGCGGCATGATCCTATTGAGGCTAATGTATTGAATCACATTCATTTGTTTAGGTTAACATAGTGACTGTGTTATCTTATGTAGGCTCCTGTATTTTCTTCAAGCATTTGTTCATTCATTCAAATTGAATTTGGGGCTAATGCGTAAAGAATGTTGCGTGTGCACATACACTTGTGACAGTCTTATTCACTTTGTTTACTTGATTTTTATTAGTTTCTTTGTCTCAGATGTTTGTTTCAGGTTCAAAGGTTCTGGCCTGTTGGACAGACTGTCGTTTCTACCCAGCCAAAATCCTCAGAGTCAACAAGGATGGTGAGGCTTACCTTTGACCTTTTACCCTGATGTTATCTTACTGTACATTAGTGCTCTAGATTTGTCAGACCCTGATGATGACCTGGGGCCTCATTTATCATCAGTGTGTACACAAAGTTGTGTGCGTAATGAGTATGCACAAACAGTCCCATGCATTGTATAGAATTTATCAACTTGTACTTATACTTAGGAATGTGCATACATACAAGCCAACTCTGACCATGCTTACGCACATAATCTAGCGGTAGAATAGTGAAACTACAAATAGAAAACATTAAGGGATTTTTTGGCCACCAGCACATTCCAGTGTGAGGTTGGAGACAAACGTGGCGTTTCCCAGTCACCACTGAGCAGGATCATGCCCGCAGTGTTGGATGCCATAATTCCCCTGGCCCCAGCCTACAGCCACTTCCCTTACGGCCATCACCAACAAGCCGAAATCAAACGGGGACTTCACGCTACCGCTGGATTCCCAAACATAATTGGAGCCATAGACTGCACCCACATCGCAATCAAAGCACCATCACTAAAAGGGTTTCATTCAACCAACATACAAATTATTTGCGATACACATTTGTCGCTATCAAATGTTGTTGCCTGGTGGCCTGGAGGAACGCATGACTCATTCATTGTGCAGAACAGCTCCGTGGGTGTGTGTCTCCAAGCAGGAGCTGTTCAAGATGGCTGGCTTATTGGTGAGTGAGTGTGGAAATGTTTTTGCTGGACTTTGTATGGTTATTAAAACATCTCATCTGTAGGTGATCAAGGTTATCCACTGGGTGAATGTTAGGTATTAACTTGTTCTCCTCTAGCTGCAGTCATTTCTCTTTTATGGGCAGTGATGCGTGGTTAAGAACAATTGGAATTTACCGACACTGATGACTTACTGATGTGCGTATGACCCACGTACGCATGTTTGATAAATACAGACTTTTTTGTACATACGCACATTCTAAATTTCATTCTTAAGGCAGAATTTAGAACCTTTTCTATGAATTAATGATATATAACGCCCCTGGTGTCTATACTTGTTAGTCTGTTTGTTTGCATATATGTTCGTAAAATAAATGAATAATATTATTTCACCTGAGGACAGAGCACCTAGGTTTCCTCCATTGTTGTCTGCACTATATATTGACTCTATAAACACTGAGCAGTCTCTGGGCATTTTTTGTTCCTGTCTCATTTTTGTTCCCGGGCTCATTTTCATCTGTAATATAAAGTCCTCCACCTCTCTGGAAACAGCACAACCACACTGTTATAATGCAAAAAATCACAAGTTACATTTCTTTTTGGAAAAAAAATAATAAATTCCCCTCAGGTGTTAATGATACTGGAAAAAATAGGGGCTCTACATAGTGCAGCTAATTCACTATTTACTACTTACATTTTTAATTTATTAATTAATTTTCATACTTGTTTCCACTCTGCTCTGTGTGAGAGCCTGCAATTCGTTCCAGTTCAAGTGAAAAGTCCTTGAATATTTGTCACGTGACTGTTGGAAGCAGCTGAGTCAGTACTGAATTCCCAGTTTTAATGAGAGCTAGATAACTTTCAGTTTTTTACAAAGTCTAGTGCAAATGTATTTTGGGTGAATTTTAAAAGTAGATAGATAGATACAACTTTATTGATCCCTTTAGTGTTAACCTCAGGGAAATTGCTGCACCATCAACAACAACACAACACCAACACAAAATCAGCAACAACAATTATAACAACAACAACAACAACAATAATAATAATAATAATAATGGATACAGTACAAAATTGCCGAAGTGCCTAAATATTGCACACAGTCCGGTGATAGAGCATGATGCTCTATCTCACCCCAGTGTGGAATGGAACACATGGAATCCAGTGATTTTGACAAAATGTCACAATTATAAGCTAAGATTTGGCCAGGTTTCTAATAAAACAGTGCACCACAGATAAGTAATTTGAGAATTTGAAATTTCAGAATCGTAAGTAACTTAAACTAAATGTGTGTTTGTGTCTGTGTCTCAGAGTCCTACACAGTGCGTTTCTACGACGGCGTGGTTCGAACCGTGAAGCCGACCAAGGTCAAACCCTTTCAGGAAGTAAGAAATGCTTCACTCTGATAGGTTGTTATCTGATTGTTTTATCGAATTGCACTTCCCTCGACTCTAAGTGTGTTTGTTTTGTGTATCAGAAGTCCAGATCAGAGAAGAGCGCCGTGGGAAGTGAGGGTTGGGAAGAAGGGGAGAGCGAGGAAGAGGAGGAAGACGAGGAGGAGGAGATAGAAGGTGGAGTGAGAGAGGAGGAGGAGGAGAAAGAGGAGGAGAAAAAAGGGGAAGCGGTCGAGGAGAAGGTGGAGGAAAACGAAGGAGTGGGAGAGGAGAGGGATGAGGAAAGGAAGAGGAAGGCAGAATCTTCATCCCATCCACCATCAAAGAAGAAAGCAAATGACAGTAAGTCACATGACTGCAGACCCAAATCACCCATTGTTTATTAGTGTACAGCAGAGGGCTGTACTAAGAAGCGAGATTAGTGGGTTAGCGAGGTATGTTGAGCTTCAAATCTGAGTTTTCAGTGTCACGAAGGTGGCTCTCTGGTTACCTGGCTAGATCTCCATGGTAACTGATGCTGTGGATCTAACCTGGTTGGAAGCAGGTTATGTTCAGAGTTTCGGATTTAAATCAGCTGGAAAGAGCGTCTCCCTTTAAACAAATAATTTCCTGACTATTATTTATGAGCACTACAGATTCTCATTTGAGGGAATGTGTTTTATGTGCAAACATGCTGAGTTGTGCGTTACTAATATCAGTGAATGAAGCTGTGCAGTTACAGTATCGTGCACTGTATGCATCGTGTTGCCATGGGAACCAGATATGTATTTAGTTGGCGATGCAGAAATCACAAATATGTTTTTATGTTTGGCTCTGATTTGCTGTCAGGTCTGTTTACACTGCTGGTACTGCAGTTGATTGAACACAGCTTAGAAAATTATTCTACTGGTATTTATTACAGAGATTATTGAATCAATAGCATTCATATTGCTTTGATTTGGCCAAAAATTACAGCGATATCCTGCATTATGGGACAGTGTCAGACCTAAATGCTCTTCAATATCAGGTTTAAATATATGAAGTTTAAAGTTTAGCTTTAATGAGCAGCTGTCAGTTGGAAATAAGTGGCTACATTGGTAAAATATTATATATTAACACTTTTAACAGTTTTGTATCCGGGAATTCCTGTCTTGCACCATTTACAGGAGCAGCCCTTTTTACGTCATTATTTTTTCTGTCACTCATTGTGTCCATTAAAACAACTGTTGACTGAAGCAGCTGCATGATGGTTTCATGAGTCACGTGACGTGCTAAACGCCTCTTTTTATGTGAACATGCACAGAGTCTGAAGCAGAAAGTCTGCGTTGAATAAGAAAGTTGATAACCACCTTTGTGATACCCGTAATCTCTGGCTGGGGCTTTAGTTTTTGTCGAGCAGGCTTACACAAAGAAAGCTCGGCTATGTCAAACGTGCTTCATAGTACAGCCCTCTGGTCTGTTCAGATACATGTCACTGATGTTAATGGAGTGTTAAAGTGTATTGTAGTTTGTAGCTTTCAAAAAATGACTTCACTTCCAGGTGGTGGAGCTCAGAGTCAGCCAATCACAGCTGACTCCACCCTGACAGTTCCTCCAAACCCCGCCCACATTGACAGAGGTAAACTCAGTTTAGTTTTACTGATGCAATGCCACAATACAGCAGTACTCCCATTGAGCTAACATTTTGCAACAGTTTGGAGAAAACCTCCGAATTTGCACCATTTATTGGACCCAGTCATGGTTTCTCATTTGCAGTTTAATCTTTCGTTTTTTCTATTAAATTTGGTGTTAACAATTTCTTTTTGGTGAGTTTTTAAATGGAACATGTATGGTGATTTTAAAGAAATTTGATGTATAGTTTTCTGACTGAACCGTGCTCTCAGACAAGTAGTTCAGAGAAAGTTAAAAACCTTATGATTCTTTCTATATGTACAGTTTTTGGCTGATAAATGGTGTCAGTTTGGCATTTTGTTTTTTAAAGATTACTTTGCTTTTGAAACTGACCAGCAGGATCTGTAGTTTAGACAGTTATTAAAAGCTCTGATGTCTAGCTTCTAGCCATGGCGGTGCTGTTTCCATACAGACTCAGTATTTTAAATGGTTGTGAAAAAGGAGCCAATACTTGCGGTTCAAAGGGTTGAACAGTGGGAGGATTCACCTGGTGGTGCAACACAGTACTACAGTAGATTAACCTGCACAGCCCCAAACTTCTACATTATCAGTTCATGTTTGGTTTTTAAGTTCTGCTTTTAGGCCACACTGCTCTTGCTAATGTTCATTATTTTGCAGCTAATAGTGCTTCTCTCTGCTTTTCAGATATCCTGTTGGAACGTCAGGCCCATCTGCCCACCACACACAAGTTCAGCAGAGAACCACGTAAGTCCCTAAACAAACCCATGTGCACACTGGAGTGATCACTTTAATAGAGGGTTTAAGTAGCTAATGATTTAGGGCTGCACAATAAGTCAGTTCAGCATCGACACTGCGATGTGTGCAACAATCACATTGCAGGAAAAGTGATGTGAACCAAAGCAAATTAACTCAAACACAGCAACTTTTTTGGTTCTTGATACAAAACAGCACAGTTCTTGTTTTCCATGACTACAAGTCAACAAGAGAAGTCTGTGTCATTATTTAATGTGATTAAAGGGCTCTTGGATACACTGAGTTTTGTGAAATTGTATTCACAATAGTTTTTTAAAATGCAGGCTCCACATGTAAACAGCCAAATGGATGAGGAACAAGAGAGAAGCACTGAAAATCAACATTTAGTTGCGACAAGAAATGCAACGTCAGTTGTATGGAAATATTTTGGCAACAGTAAGGATGGTGTTAAGCAACAACATGCTCTGTGCAAAGTCAGATCTGAATGCAATCCAAAGCAAAAAACTATTTGCCAGTGTTGCACCAAATGAGAAAGCCTCGAAAAAGCTTTTCAACATGTTTTTTTTTTTTTTTGATGCAGATGCACTCTCCACACAGTTATTTGAGTTAACTTGCCAATATAACTGTATTTTTTTTCATATCACAACATATAATGCTTAAATCTAAATGTTGCAATGTCGTGCAGCCCTCACCTTAAGTACTGTAAAGCCCCTCTACTCTGGAGGAGGTGAGTTGATTTTATTCTGTCACCTCCTTTGATCTGGAATTTTAACCCGGTTTGGAGTGTTTTTTCTTCTCGTCCTCAGCAGTACTACAGTTAAAATTAACTAATGTTTCACTTTTCAAACATGATGTCCAGACCTACCCTTTGCACTCTTATTCCCTGTCACTTTCCTCCTTTCTCAGTGTACAGGGTCATAAAGAACCAGCCTCCTCCTATTCTCTCCATTGAGCTGGACCACAACCCCTTCAAATGCCTGGCTCCCGGCTGCACTAAGTCCTTCAGAAAGGCTAGTCTGCTGCACTACCACATCAAGTACTACCACACTGACCAGAGGCTGGATGAGCAGCGAGGCAGCGAGCAGGAGGCAGCGAGGTAGCTTCACATCCCACAGCAGTAACTTTACAGAGAGTCAGCAGGGGGCGACTGTTTGTTTAACTCTGACTAAGGACGTTGTTTTTGTTGTTGCAGAAGGAAGCGGTCTTCTTCTGAGGGGGGCGACTTCATTTCAGACAGAAAGAGTGAGAGCCAGAACAGCAGCTGTCACCGTGACAACAGAGAGCCCAGCATTGTGGGAACAGGTAGGACAGCTCAGTTTATAATTTAGAACGTAATACAAACGGCAGCATCATTAACTTTATTTCTGCTGGCAGAAGTGAAGAAGGATGGAGGGAAGGAGAAGACAGGAGGACAGGATCGAAAGGAGAGGAAGAACTTCCTGAGAGTGAAACTAAAGAAGAAGAAAAAGAAGAAGAAGAAGAAGAAAAGTCAGCCAGGTAAGAGTCATTGTCAGTAAGAATGAACACGTACTTTAGGGTTCACCTCTCAGAGCACTGTTCAACAACTGTCCTTTGTAAAAACAGTCAGAGAAACTAAACTTTATTTGCATAGCAGATGTGCTTTTAATCATCTTATTACAACTGCTGAGATGATGAGTTGAGTAAAGCCCCGCAAAACTTGTTTACATCAACACAATCACCCAGTAGGTGATTTTTATGTTATCAACAACATTTGCTACTTTTTTTTTTTTTTTTAGCTATTTAAGTCTGTTTGCTGTTTGTCTGCCCAAAATAAAACACATTTTCTCATTAGGGAGTTTTTCATGTTAATTATAAAACTACCCCTCCTTCTTTCATCTCTCCTTCCATCCTCTCTAACAGCTCACAGTTTGAAAACGTCCTCTGTGGCTGATAAATCTGTGTATTATTAATCATATTCAAAGAATAATGGCTGTTTGTTGGTTATAATTGTGTTGCTTCTTTTGTCAGGACTCGGCAGCAGCGATGATGAGAACTCAGACAGGCCTCCCATCACTCTGAAGCTGACAAGTGGACACAACAGCACACACACACAACGTGGGAACTCACTCACTCTCACACACACACACACACACACACACACAAACACACACAAACACACACACACACGCACACACACGCACACACACACACACACATCAAATTTTTTTTAAAAATGACATGATATGAAAATGCAGAAATTTGTGTTATTCCTCCTTCCTTCAGTGGATGATGGCAGTGATTGGTCCACGCTAACAGCGGAGAGTGGAGAAGACACGCCCTCTTGGCCTGTCGCTATGGAGACAGAAGAGTGTGAGGTGGTGAGGTGTGTTTGTGAAGTTGACGAGGAGAACGACTTCATGATACAGGTAACACTCACACACACACACATACACACACACACACACACACACACACAGACACTCACACTCACACACTCACTCCCACACTCCCCCTGGAACAGAAGGTTTCACCTGGGACAGTTTGCATTTTGTCAGTGCACCAGTTGTCTGTCAGCTATAGCATGTTCGCAGGGTTAGCCTTCAAAGCTCCACTGGAATAATAAAGACAAATCAAAGTCCTGCAGTGTAACATTATTACAAATCTGGCACAGATAAGTTTAAAGTTTTGTTAGCAAACATTAACCTGGCATGCCACTTCTGCAAGAAGACTTTCGTATGTGAGCAGTTCACTGAATAAAATAATGAGTTATTTGTGTTAGCCTCAGAGCACATATTTTTTCTATACAATATCTCACCATCATAATTCAGATTTTGCCAGATTCCAGACAGTCTCCTCCACAAAATTATGACATATTCCTCTACTGCCACCATTTTATGGTGAGATACATGTAAAATTAAAGCTGCAAGCAGCGTTGGACAGGCCCTCGCACTTCCACGAGTGTCGGATGCGGCGCACGTCGGGGTTGTGGCAGAAATGCGCTCCAGGCAAAGTGACAATCATCTAACCATAACCCTAACCACATTTGAAGTAAATACGGTCAACTGGCTAATAAAGGCAAATGCAAGTGTAAAACGTGTCCTATCATGTTTCCAGAAGGTGGCGCTGTGACTGTAAATGGATAATGGCATGAGAATGTCACCAGGGCAGGACTCTGATCCAACATGTAAAGTTTGAGAGGCCAGAATAAAAAGACTAAGGACAGTTTCCACCTGAGAGCTGTGACAGCTATCTCCCCCCTCCTCCCACACACACATTCTCAAGGCTCTTCCAGACACAGACACCCCTACCATCACCCCTCCCCCGCTGACACACACACACACACACACACACACACACACAGAGTCCTATACAGACAGCACACTAAGTACACAAGTGACCCACTACCTCACACAGCCTTTAGCAAGTTGGGACTTCTGACTGCAGTTTCGTTGTGTGTACAGAAGCATGTGCATAATGACAATAAAAGAGTCATCATCAACATCTAAAGGCTCATGTCATCGTATTTGAGATCAATACGGTCAACCGGCTAAAAATTGCACATGAAAGTGTAAAACACATTCTTTCCTATTGCCAGCAGGTGGTGCTATGGCTATGAGTCCATTTTACATTGTGGATGTCTTCAGACATGGACTCTTGTCAATCATGTGTGCTCTGGGCCAGATTTGATTATCTGCAGCTGAGATATGAACATTTGAGTTTTCATCAAAATTTGCCGCGCTGTCACAGCCACGCCTTTTGACGTAAATACACAATTTTCACCGTGAGTCATCATCAACATCTAAAGGCCTAGTTCACCAAATTTGACATTAATATGATCAACGGTCTTACAGTACTACATCAAAGTGTCATTTCCTGTTGTCAGCTAGGTGGCACTATGACTGTGAATGGATATTGGCACATGGATGCGATCAGGGCAGCAGTCTGATCAAACATGGAAAGTTTGAGGCAGATTGGAGCAGGTACATGGAAGTTAGACAGTACTTCCCGTTTCACGGCGAAGGATGGAAAAATCAGGAGGCTGCCAGGGCCACGCCCTTTGACTTTTGCAGAAGATTTTGATAAAGTTTTACCTTCAAGGTGTACTTTACAGCTGAGTTTCAGCGGTCTGTGACTCACCCCCTAGGAGGCGGCTCAGGGTGGAGAAATGAACAATCCAAGATGGCGAACTTCCTGTTGAGTTTAGGTCAATGGCCTCCACTGGCTTTTTTGTTCCTCTGGATGTGCTGCAGATGTTCACCAAGTTTCATGGATATAGGTGAAACGTGCTGCCCGTAGATGTTACAGATTTAAAACTAATGTAGGGGGCGCTATCGAGCCATTTTGCCACACATATGTGCGACGACCAAAAAATATCACATTTTTCACCAGTCCTGATGCGTGTGCAAAGTTTCATGAGGATTTGAGCATGTTTAGGCCCTCAAAAATGCAATTGTTTATGGCCATGAAGAAGAAGAAAGAATAATCCTTTCAGTTTCAAGAGGGTCCTACGGACTGTAGTGCTCAGGCCCTAAATATAACAATTTCATAACCTGACTTTTTTTAATGTAAAAGCTAAAGAAAAAAATGCAAGTGTTATTATGTTGAATGATCTGGATTTCCTGGGCCATTTTGAAAAAAGATGCAGCATGTTTGACAGGTCCTTATAATGACCACGATAACAGCTTAAAAAGGAAAGTAGTGATGCTGCTTTTCATTTCATTATGGCCAATGAGCCACTTTAGAAAGGTTTAATTTTTTTAGATAAGTGACAAAGGTGATATTTTCCTGCTTTTGGGTTCTCTGTTTTCTCTACTGTAATGAATACGGACCAAAGGAAAGGACACTAAGCTAGTAGTTAATTTTATTAGTTAGTTATCTTTGTGTTTGTAACAACTGTCAGATGGATTCAACCACAACAGAAAATATGTTACAATTACAGACATTTTACAACAAAGTGCTCCATAACAACATCACCAATAACCAAGACAAAAGGACACCAGACACAGATCATAACACTTGGATTTGTTTAAAAGAGCTGTACTGGAGGATGTTGTTTGATTCATTCGAATGGTAGCCTTCCGTTTTCTTTCACGTCTCTCTGGTGTTACTTTCCATTTCAAAACATTGGAGATCATTTTAGCTGAGCAGCCTATCATTTTCTTTACGTTTCCATACGTTTTCCCCTCTACAATCAACATTTTATTTAAAGCATGCTGTTCTTCTGAACAGTGTCTGGAACGACCCATCTTCCTCAGGTTTTCAGGCAGAATTGCATGTGCAACATGTGCTGGCTTCATCCTTTAATAAGGGCCACCTGAATGAAACTTGTTTCTTCACATAATGAATGACCTCACTAATTGAACTCCACACTGCTATTATTTTGAACACACCCCTTTCAATTAATTATTCAATTACACAGACTCAGGAGCATGCATATCATGAATGTTGGATTTGTTTGTTTCTCTGTCTCTACTACACCTACTGGTAAATTATTTGCCATGTGATAATTTAATTTCTACCAAAAACAGTGGCTGATCTGGGGCCTCATTTATCATCAGTGTGTAGAAAAGGTTCTAAATTCTGTCGTACGAATGAAATTTACAGTGTGCGTAAGTACAAAAAAATCTGTATTTATCAAACGTGCGTACGGGAGTTGTACGTATATCAGTGTTGATAAATCCCACTTATTCTTAACCTCCGTGCTCGTGCACGTTGCCTTCAGGAACGCCTCCAAATCACCATATAGGGCAACAACACGCCTCTTTATAAAGCAAGTAAAGATTTATTTTTTCCTCACCTGTCCTCATCATTGTGGCAAAAAGGGCGAAAAAGAGGAACTTTTATGAAACTGAGATCGAGGTACTTGTCAGTGAGGTTGACGCAAACCAGAAAATATTGTTTGGTGTGTGAAATGTTGGGATAAGCAGCGAAAGAAAAAATACTGCATGGGACAAGATAACCACCGTAGTTATTTCTGTTGGGTCAGAGGAGACATCGCCGGCAAAAATTTTAAAAAATGGTTTGACGTTAAGCTCAGTGCCGAAAAACACATCACAGTCCATAAAGGAGAAATGGCTGCAACTGGAGGAGGACAAATTAATACCGAACATTCACCCAGTGGATAACCCTGCTCACCTACAGATGAAATGTTTTAAAAACCAAACAAAGTCCAGCTAAAACATCTCACACTCTGTGACACTCACCAATAAGCCAGCCGTCTTCAGCAGCTCCTGCTTGGACACGCACCCACAGAGCTGTTCTGCTCATTGAATGAGTTGTGCGTTCCTCCAAGCCGGCGGGCAACAGCGTTGGATAGCGACAAATGCGCATCACAAATTATCAATACGTTGATTGAATGAAACCCTTTAAATCAAGCTCGTTTAGTGATGCTGCTTTGATTGTGATGTGGGTGCTGTCTATGACTCCACATATGTTTGGGAATCCAGTGATGGCGTTAAGTCCCCGTTTGATTTGGGCTCATCGGTGATGGCTGTAAGGGAGCTGGATGTAGGCTGGGGCCAGGGGAGTTATGGCATCCAACACTGCCAGCTTGATCCTGCTCAGTGGTGACTGGAAATGCCGCATATGTCTCCAACCTCACACTGGAATGTGCCAGTGGTCAAAATCCCTGAACACTTTCCATTTGTAGTTTCACTATTCTACCGCTAGATTATGTGTGTACGCATGGTCAGAGGTGTGCGTGTATTTACGCACATTCCTAAGTATAAGTACAAGTTGATAAATTCCATACTTTGCGTAGGAATGTTCGTACGCACGCTCTACGCACATATCTGTGCGTACGCACTGATGATAAATGAGGCCCCTGGTTAGTCAATGTTGGACTGCTATTATTTTAAACACAACTGTATATACTGTATGCCTATATACAGTATATACAACCCACTTAAATTTTCATTTGCACAACGATAATAATATTTTTAGAACTGCAGCTATATTAAAGCAGGGATATAATCACACTTTTACTAGTCTGTCAGAAAACATTTCTGACCTGCTCAAATGCACATCAAATGAGATATTGGCTGCTGTAATGAGTTCTTGGAACTGTGATATTTGTCGTAATCCTGCTAATCTGTCTGTCTGTGTTCCTCTACAGTGCGAGTCATGTCTGTGCTGGCAACATGGCACCTGTATGGGTTTATATGAAGACAATGTCCCACACAACTACATTTGCTACTACTGCAGACAGACCGCAAGTATGAATGACACTCTGCCTACCTGACATTTTTTTATTTCACATAACTGCACTTAAGATGACAGAAATCACTGTATATTGATCATATGTAAGTAACAATTAATTAATCAATCTAAAATTCAAAACAGGGATTTTGTTTTGTCAATTTTAAATGAGATGTTTTCTATAAAAAGTTTAAGACTTGGCCAGATAAGTCCTCTAGTATCAAAACCAGTGAGTCAAACAGAACTAATCTTTTGGAGTAAACATTTTACATCAAGCAACTTTTCTAAAGAAAAACTGTACAGCTTTGACTAATTAAGAATTTCTGTTAGTTGTAGAGTGTGAGCAGCTACATGATTTCCTTCATCCTGTTTTTGTTACTCTTGTGCCCAGGTTGGAGGCGGGCTCAGCGTGTCCTGTCTGAACCTGATGTCCTGATATCTGGTCACATGTTCGGCCTATCGTGTGTAAAGGAGAACTACTCCGAGATCAATGCCTCTAAGATTTCACACACCAGCCATCTGCTGGCGCACATGCACAACATCAGCCAGGTCCTCAGTGGGCTGCATCTCAAAATCAGCCTGCTACAGTGAGTACAGTTGCATCAGACACTTGGTTTGTCTGTTTGAGTCCGCAGAGCTCAGTCTGTCTTTCCGTTTGTCTATCTGCGCAGCTCCCCATCCCACCCTGACCTGCAGCTGTGGAGGTTGCCGTGGAGACAGGAAGAGGGGACGAGGCTGACGTTAAGCCCAAAAGGAGAGCCTCCCGTCTGTTATGTCAGCAGCGAGCACTGCTACCAGAAGCCCGGAGCATCCTGGGAAAAAGCTGAGGACAAGGAAGGGCTGATGGTTGTAGTGAAGCAGGAACAAGACACTGAAGAGAAGGTAGAGACAGATTTTAACTGTTATTGGAATTAAATGTTGATGTCTTTAATAAAGTCTACTGGTTGCTTCACAGCACCACTGTCAATATCAAAACAAATGTACACTAGGTTAAACTGCATGTAATTTAGTAGGCTGCACTCAAGCAAAGAAAATCTTGGAAGACTGAAATCGTACTTACCTTTCAACCAATTAGTTGGTTGTGGGGACAAAACAAATATGCATTTTATCTGTAGATGAACTAAATGTGCCACAGTGCAATGAGTGCACTCAACCTGCTGGTCCTCACCGTACAATTGTCGGCCTTCGCACAATTGGTGCAGGGTGTGGCGCAAACATGCTCCGGGCAGGAGTCTGATCTGGCGTGTCAAGTTTCGGCCAGATCGGAGCACATACAGCCTCATTATAAGCCACTTCCTGTTTAATGGCTACCCATGGCGGCGTGTGCGTCAGGCCGTGGTGGCAATGCACTCTGGCTGGGACTCAGAGCATGTGTGTAAAGTTTCAGGCGGATCGGCGCACGTACAGGCCAGTTACACAGCACATGCCGTTTTATGGCGTCAGACTTTTGAAGACCGTTTAACTAACTTTTAATCACCACATCCTGGAGTTTGTGATGATAAAATTTCAAGTGTGTACGACCTTCTCTGTAGGAGGAGACAAATTTTGAAAATGGCCAAAAATGAGGGAAAATCACCAAAATGCTCACAGTGTTTTTTCAAAATGGCGGACTTCCTGCTGGGTTTAGGGCTTGGTGCTAATGTACTTTTTTGTGCATCCCAATGTGCTACACATGCCGACTGAATTTCGTAGGTGTAGGTGAAACAGTCTTTCGACTGGACTCTGTTGAATGCCAGAAGCACAGCAAAAACGTGCAAAATGGCCTTTCATCAAAATTGCGCGGGCCGCCATTTCCAAGCCCTCAGTGTTTTAATAACTTGTAATCACCACATCCTGTATTTTGTGCTGGCCAAATTTCAGGTGTGTACGACGTACCCCCTAGGAGGAGATAGATTTTGAAAATGACCAAAAATGAGCGAAAATTTCCGTAATGCTCGCCGTTTATCCAACAAGGTGGATTTCCTGTTGGGTTTATAAAAACGCGCTGATGGATTTGTAGTGACTTGATTTAGACAAACAAAAACCTAAGCCACAGTGAGGGGCTGGTACCGGTATATGTAATTGACGCGTCGTCATGCGGCGGCTCCACGCGGTAAATCAAACATCTGCAGACTTGTGCTTAAGATGTGTTTACTCACTAACGTGTATCACTACAGCCTTTGCTATGCACACACTTGCATCTATAACTTGCATGAAAACAAAGAAAAATGGTTAAAGATTAGCCTCCAAACGGTGGTGACAGTCAAAAACCGTTTGCTTCTCCTGGTAAGCAGCACACCTGAGGAGTAACTACCTCTTCTTCTACTTATACATTTCCATGTGCCGCTATCCAATACACCACGTACTGTGGCAACCGGGGAATGACCTGAACACACATACAAATGGCTCTGACAGGACTTTTTTGTGTGTCTCAAACTGCTACATATGTGTACCAATTTCTGTAGCTCTGAGTCAAACGTAGCCCCGATGGGACTCTGTTGAAATATTGTAGGGGGCGCAGTTAAGCCATGTTGCATTTTACAGCTTGGAGCAGGTCAACTTTTTTGTTTGTTCCGACCTTCAGACGTGCTTCCGACAGGAGTCCATTGAAATTTTGCAAGGTGGCGCTGTGGAGCCATTTTAGCAGTGACATCTCCAAGTCCCTTAAAATCTAACATTTTTTGGTGGGTGGCGATTTTGGTGAGTTTGGAGCATGTTAGGCCCTCAAAAGTGCGTTTCTTTTAGGGGAAAAGTTTTTTTAAAAAGTGAAAAATTAAAGCCACAAGTGGTATTGGACGGGTCCTCGCACTTCCACGTCTGTCGGACGCGGCGCACGTTGGGGTTGTGGCAGAAATGCGCTGATAATCACCTAACCGTAACCCTTATCTCATAAAACAGTAAATGCAGGTAAGTGTTATAGTTGTGCAGAATGCTGTTGTTGTTCCGTTTGTCCACTAGATGGAGCTCTGACTCCATTCAATCCTCAGTCCTTACTGTGTGCCTCAGTAGTGCAGGAGCAAGCTGCAGCCAGAGTGGTTTAGAAGGCCACCAACAGCACACCGTTTGATGAAAAGTCACAATTTTTGGTATGAGTCATAATCAGCATGTAAAGGCTCACGTCATCACATTTGATTAATAGCACATGAAAGTGTAAAACATGTTCTTTCTTGTTGCCAGCAGGTGGCTCTATTGTTTTTGACTGGATATTGGCATATGGGTCTCTTCAGGGCAGGACAGTGATCAAGTATGTAAAGTTTTAGGGAGATTGGAGCATATACAGGGTCGTTAGACATGCTTCCTTTGTGATGGCGAAGGATCAAAAATCAGAGGGCCGCCATTGCCACGCCCTCAGATGTTTACAGAGTGTTTTGATCAGTTTTGATTACCAAGCCCTGTTGTATGCGCTTGCCAAATTTGAGGCGTGTAGGAGTTAACCCCTAGGAGGAGATAGATTTTGAAAATGGCAAAATCACAAAAAATTGCAGTTATTTCAAAATGGTGAACTTCCTGTTGAGTTCATGGTATGGGTCCAACAGGCTTTTTGTGCATCCTGATGAGTTACACATGCTTACCAAATTTCGTAAACGTCGGTTAAACGTCCTGCGGGGGCTAATGGATAAATTGCTGTAGGGGGCGCTATAGAGCCAATTTGCCAAACAGGCACACATTGTCTGTTGTTGAGCCAATAGTGACTCGTATGCCAATTTTGTTGATTTTTTGAGCATTCCAAAGCTGTCAAAAAAATCCTTTCCGTGTCATTGCAACTATGCATTGCCATGGCAACACCATTGCTTGAAAACGCAAAAGCTTCACACTGTAGCATCGTCATTGTGGGAAGACATAGCTGACCAATTTTAGGAATGATATCACAAAGTTTGGAACAATGGCACATGTAAGTGTAATGCCTCAAACAGCCTGTTACCAATAGGTGGCGCTATGACTGTGAATGGATTTTGCCATATGAATGTGATCAGGACAGCAGTCTGATAAAATATGTAAAGTTTGAGGCAGATTGGCGCATGTACAGGGTAGTTACAAAGTACTTCCTCTTTCATGGCAAATGATCAAAAATCAGAGGGCAGCCGTGGCCCCACCCTTGGACCTTTGCAGATGATTTTGATAACATTTTACTTTCAAGGTGTATTCTACATGCTATCCAAATTTCAGCACTCTGTGACTTACCCCGTAGGAGGAGTTAGCTCAGGTTGGACAAACAAGCAATCCAATTAGGTGAATGCCCCCCCCCCCACGGTTTTTCCATTTTGTCACTGACTTTTTTGTTCGTCCTGACGTCCTCCATATACCTACTAAATTGTGTAGTTCTAGGGCAAACGTGCTTCCGATGGGACTTTGTTGAAATTTTGTAGGTGTAGTTATAAACTTGTTCGCTGGGTCTGATTTGTGTGCCAAGTTTTGTGTGTTTTCGAGTACGTTTAGGACCTGAAAAACGTGTTTCTTTGTGACAAAGAAATAATAACAGCAGTTCCAATATGGTAGGGTCCTACGCAATGTAGTGCTCGGACCCTAATAAGAAAAATTCTGAATAGTAATAAACCCAAGGGTTACAATAGGGTCCTTGCACTGGTAGTGCTTGGACCCTAATTATAGCAGTTGCTAATTCCAGCACAAGAACTGTTCAGGAATATAGGGCAGACAAGTTAGCCTACTTTTTCTATGATCTGTCATGCTGGTTGTTGAGTCGTGATATCTTAAATACAGCTTTCAAAGCTAACATTCAAGTTCAATAAAGTATTATTATTATTATTATTATGATGAGGATGATGATGATGATTATTATTGTTCGGCAGTTTGAACAAAATGCAGGCACACTGATGACTTCATTGACATAGAGTCATTTAGTTTGGAGCCGAGTCCAAAGAAACGCCTCGTTACCATAACAGAAGGCATAGTGTGTATCCTGAGGGGAGCTTTTGGACACAAGGGGTTACACTGCTTCCCAGCATTGAATGCTTGACTGTTGTACAGCAGAGCAGATGGACGAGTGCTCTCCTGCAAGCCGGAAACTAGTACAGGCTTCACTGTCCCACAATAGTCACTCATGGCCTGTGTGCTCCCAGATTTCAAATTGGATGGTTGCATGACTGTTGATATAGCACTTTCCTCCTGAAAGGAACAGGTAACAGGAGATTGACCCACCAATGAAAGTTTGGTCAACTGAGAGCATATTGACCAACCGATCAACTAGTCCCCCTGCATACTACGGACTTAGTAAAAACTTGATTTTTTTCTTCTTTTTTAAGTTGGTAATATCAGCACCAGTTAGGAAGGTGTCCGTTATTATGGGTTAAATAGTGGAAATACAATAACAACTACATATTTTTTGATGTCCCTAATGCGGTTTAAAAGAAAAAAAATTTCATTCCAGTCGCAGCTGTGACAGAATTGTGTTTCGTCTCTATAAACACTTATTTTGTGTGCTCTTAAAAGATGTCCTCAAGGTAGCATGTTTATTGAAAATAGAAGTGGTCCAAGCAATGAACCCTGAATAACCCCTGGTCTTCCTGCTGCCAAAAATACTGCATTAATCCTGAAAAACTAAAGTCCCTTGGCAGTAAAGGGCTCTTCTTGTTTGAGATGCAAATTGCAAATTAATAAATACTTTACAGCTGAACTACAACTATTTTGAATAATCAAATAAGTGTTTTAGTCATTTAAAAAACATAATTTGTTTTTGTGTTTCCAGCATCTCTAATATAAAGGTCCAGTGCTTTTGATGTCACATTACAGTAAACTAAATATCACTGGACTGTTGGTCAGACAAAACAAGGCATCTGCATGGGTAATAAGAAGTGCACATTATGTATTTCAGAGGAGTGTAAGAAAACAAAGACCTTTAGTAGCAGCAGCTCATACTCGTAGCTCTAAGCTCCTGCTGTTGCTATGAGACCGCTGACAACCAGTTTGAGGCTCATTCTGGTGAATGTGGAACTATTTTTACCTGCTGCTGCTCTGCAAGTGTGATGGTTTTGGAGAAAGCACCAGAGGACAAGGTTTTAAGATATAACAACGCTGAACTAATCTTCTGCTCTCAGAAATATCACTACCACATCTTAAAGACTACCCTTTTCTTGATAGATTTGTGAGTTTATCCATTTGTGGAAAGTGAAGACTTTAGAAAACTGAAATGCTTCCTATTTAAAGCATAAAAAGAAGTTACAAAAATTACATAAAATCAACACAAACAACAAAGTCTGTTTTGGTAACATCAGTTTGAAAAAGTCTAAGCAAATTTAATTTTATTCGACTAAACCCTTGCTCATCCTGTCATTAATAAATTGCTTATAACCTTCAAAATAAAACAATGAAAGTTTACTGCATATATTTTGATCTACTGCAGTAAGGAGAAAGGAAGAATTTGTTCAGCTTGTCTTTTTCTAAGAGATGTAGAAGAGTGACAGATTATTTATGGTATGGCAGTAAACACTGTGTGTTGTTGGTAGTTTTTTGGTATGTCTCCTGTATGGAAGTAACAATTCTGAAATGTTGTCAATGGCTTCACAATGGAGTCTAATGAGCAACCAGAATTTTATTTTAAATTCTAAAGACCAGTTTTCTACACAATTGATGCAGAGAGCAGACGTGCATACAGTTTTGTTCATACTGCTATTCGTGTACATTGATCTGCTGTGCAGATGGTCAATATCATCTGCAAAGAGTTGACAAAGTTGGGAATTTTGTAATTGGAAAATGTGGCCATTTTCTCACTTTTACCATCAACGTTGTGTGTTTTTTAAGAACATGTTTGTTTAGGAACATCATTTTATGGAAATGTCACCAACAATCAACCTGACCTACAGACAGGTGACAAATTAAAGAAAAAAACAACCAATCCCTCATATCGAAAAAGAAAAAACGCAGTGCTCCTGTTGATGCTTTTAAAAGGAAATTTTGCACTTCTTACAGTGCCAATGATTTTTTCTGAGGTGTGCCGAGCACAGTGGACTGACATGGTATTTCTCCAGAATTTGAAACTTCATACTGTGGTTTGGCACTGTTGATGTAAAAAAAAAAAAAAGTAACTCTTGTAATTATGAATTATACAGGTGTGGATGATGGGGAGTCTCCTTGTACAGTCTCCTGTCAAAATAGGCATTTGTTTTAAGCTTCATATGTTTCCTGGCACATGTGCAGTTGAGTATTTGCATTGGATTGGAGACAGTCAACATGATCACAAATTTTGGGCCACATGCAGACATCTGCAGAGGACCTTGGTGAATGAAGCACTTCACACCACATATAGCCTTGTGGATTTACAGATGCAGTAAGCATCTTTGCTTCTGCTTTTGTAGGAAATAAATCCTGAGGACGTCAACAAGACACCAGCCAACGTCTCGGCAGGCACAAACATGGTGACCCTCACAGATGCATACAGGGATGGCAGCATAAAGAGAGAGAACGCACAGCCAGATGGTGTCGAACATGCACACACTCAGACGTACACACAGGAGTCTCGTCCAGCACCTGTAGCCGAGTGTCAGCTCAACCTTCTGGACCACGTTGAGGCTCTTCACCACCAGATCAGTGCCAGGATGGATCTGATAGAGCGAGAGCTGGACGGTAACAGAAACAGTTCATTTACACCAAAGAAATACAAACTGTGCAGATGTTTTTCATTGCTCCCATTACAGTTCTACTTGCTGTAGGTTCATTTTTCACTGCATTGTAAAGTCCTGCACCTCTATAGAAGCAGCACAACCATGGCTAGAAGGAACGAGAATGGAAAAAAAATGACTTCTGTGCAGTATGATATAGTTATGTCATAAACCATACAATATATATATATATTTTATTTGTTTTACAGTCATTAAAAAGAACTGAAATGTTTAACACATCTATAGAGGTTCAGGACTGATATTTGTACATGTGTTATTTTTATTGCAGTAAAAAATTTGCCCACTGTGAGTTCAAATTTGACAGAAACAAAAACAAAATACTGCTTGAGGTTCAGAGAGTTCATGATTTAACCCCAGGGCTCATTTAATACCAAGTTTTGGTGCCAATATCTAGATATAACTCTGAAGAGTTAGTAACAACACTTTAAAATTATACTCCACATTCGTTTAAGGTTTTTTTTTTTAAATCACTATTTCGCCTCTCTTTCTCCTTCTTATCCTTGATCCCTCTTTCCAGTATTAGAGTCCTGGTTGGACCACTCAGGCGAGCTCGAGCCTCCTGACCCATTGTCCCGCCTCCCACAGCTGAAACAGCGAGTCAAGCGGCTGTTGTGCGACTTGTGCATCGTGAGACACCTGTCGGTCTGCCGCTGACTCTTTGCTCCTTAGACCCTACACTTTTGACCCTGCAGGCCTGAAGGAGCGAACTGACCGACTGACTGAAGAGAAAGACTCGTTGAGAGTGAGTCAAAGTGTGTGACGCTTCAAAGCTGGAAGGGAAACTGTGGTTTGTTTCTGCTTGATTGTGGGACAGCGCCCCCTCTGGTGGAGAAAAACTCCTCTACAACATGAAGTGCATGATGACATTTTTCATAAAGTGATTGAATGTGTGATTTTCTTCTGTCAAATTCCAAGAGGAATGTCTCCCAAACAGCCTCCAGCAGGACACCAAAATATGTCCAGCCACATGACAGGTATGAATATTGATTTGGATGAGCTGTTGTCAGGACAGAAAAACTGAACTGATCCGGAGCAAGTGTTATCACTGAATGTTGCCATATGTCATCTTCCAGCAGCAAGCATCAAAATGTAATAACTTTCAATCACACGTAAAGAGTTTGGATCAGCGTTTGAAGACATGAGAATTTACTTAAAACATTTATAGAGCGATGCTTTTGTAAGTTTGATATTTCTCAATGCAGAAATGTTGTAATTGTACTAATGTTAGTACTAAGTATTTCCTGTTTTTACAAAAAAATAGAATCTTTCTGAGAGGATTTTAAGTTTGGGTCACACCAGAACACGTTTCCTCACGCAATACATGTTTTCTAGAAGTTTGGTGGCTGCTAACCGCCAGCCAGACTAGCGCTAGTTAGTCACAGTAGCTTGTTTTCAGGTTCATTTTATTCACTGAGAAGTTAGCGAAGTGAGGAGAAGCTGTCCAAGCCAACTAGTTAACTGCTAACAGTTTCCCTTAAGCCACAGTGATAAATCATTTAGTCATTGGCTATTAAATTCATCACCAAGTATTGTGATAATTGATTAGAGTAATTTTTTAATAAAAAAAAATTATATTCTTTGATCTCTTAATTCCAGTTATGTAAATGTGAAATATTTACTGGTTTCTTTCCTCACTTAATACAGTAAACTGAATATCTTTGTTTTGTGGACAAAAGAAACTTGAGAAGAAACACTAATCTTTTTTTTTTTTTTTTTTTTTACTATTTTCTGACATATTATAGACTAAACTACTAATAGATGAATGGGAAAAATAATCAACAGATTATTTGACAATGAAAGTAGTTCTTACTTGCAGCCCTACCGTTAATGGCCTTGTTAGCTTACTCGTTAATTTGACAAGAAGTTTGCACAGTTTATTCAACCCTTAAAGGTCCAGTATATAGGATCCAGTGGCATCTAATGGTGAGGTTCCAGATTGCAGCAAGCTAAATACCTTTTCTGAAAGGCTCTGCCTTGAGACAGTGTTTGTTTGTCTGTTTTGGGCTACTGTATGAGGTGTAATTAAAAACATTAAGTACATTTTCCTATTAAAATCAAAAATTGTGCATGGTTTAAATTTGGATGCGATCTCAGTCAAAGTCGTCTCCTTATGCAGTGATACACCGATACACACTTTTAAGTCTCATAATATAAACACAGCATGCGCTGACTCTCCTGAACGGTGTGAGTAGGCCGAGCGGAGGGTGATGGGTGTGTTGCTGTGGGCAAAGCACTCCTGCATAATCAATGTGCTGTGACCAGGCAATTTGTCAACATTCTGTGCCACAGAGTTCAGGCTCGTATATGTTCCACGTTAATGACTGTGATGCACTCCAACCATGTTGCAAAAGACCTGCTTCCTCCTCAGATATAGCCGACTTGTTCAAAGCTGTCAAGAACACAATAATAATTGCAAATGATTATACAAAAATGACAATGTAATTATAAATACTATATTTCATTTTTGCAAATTGCTCCACCTAAATCCCACAAACTGGACCTTTACGAGACATGCAGTGACGATTCTTATGTTGTATTTTGAACCCATTCTGAATCCAACTTAACAAGCAATCCATTGTTTTAAAGCGCAAAGCCTCACAGTCCAAATAGTGTGAAGTATTTCAAGAACACAACAGCAGTAATAGTTTCCTGCTTTAACAAAACAGTTGCCTTTTCTGTCATCTTACAGGGGTGAATCCAATGAACAAAATGCTTCAGTGTTTTTTTTGTTGTTTTTTTCGTAGTAAGATGGTGGCTATGAAGGGTTTAAAAGATGCATTTGTATCATCATCAGCTTATGTTGCATTACCTACACTGCAAGAGAAAAAGCCTCAACAAATGGCAACACAGTTACTCTCTTTGTATATCAGCACCGATGATGCAGCTTCATTAACAGTTATGTGATGTGAAACATTGGGCAGATTTAATGCCCATCCTACAAAAGAATCCGTGTGAATATATGAAAGGACTTTGCAGCGAAGTTTTAAGTGCTGGTTTGGTGTGCGTGGCAAGACAGTGAGAGAGGAAGAAAAATTTTGCACCTGAATTCTGAAACTTTGTGTGCGATGTTCCCCTTTCGAGCACTAAGAGGTCATCCCAAGTTAGTTAAGCAAAAGGAAAGTTGCTGTGTTGAGTCTGCAGCTAATTGGAAACATCACAGACATACAATACAGACCAAAAGTTTGGACACACCTTCTCATTCAAAGAATTTTCTTTATTTTCATGACTATGAAAATTGTAGATTCACATTGAAGGCATCAAAACTATGAATTAACACATGTGGAATTATATACTTAACAAAAAAGTGTGGAACAACTGAAAATATGTCTTATATTCTAGGTTCTTCAAAGTAGCCACCTTTTGCTTTGATTACTGCTTCGTACACTCTTGGCATTCTCTTGATGAGCTTCAAGAGGTAGTCACCTGAAATGGTGTTCCAACAGTCTTGAAGGAGTTCCCAGAGATGCTTAACACTTGTTGGCCCTTCTGCCTTCACTCTGCGGTCCAGCTCACCCCAAACCATCTCGACTGGGTTCAGGTCCGGTGACTGTGGAGGCCAGGTCATCTGGCGCAGCACCCCATCACTCTCCTTCTTGGTCAAATAGCCCTTACACAGCCTGGAGGTGTGTTTGGGGTCATTGTCCTGTTGAAAAATAAATGATGGTCCAACTAAACGCAAACCCGGATGGAATAGCATGCCGCTGCAAGATGCTGTGGTAGCCATGCTGGTTCAGTATGCCTTCAATTTTGAATAAATCTCCAACAGTGTCAGCAGCAAAGCACCCCCACACCATCACACCTCCTCCTCCATGCTTCACGGTGGGAACCAGGCATGTAGAGTCCATCCGTTCACCTTTTCTGCGTCGCACAAAGACACAGTGGTTGGAACCAAAGATCTCAAATTTGGACTCATCAGACCAAAGCACAGATTTCCACTGGTCTAATGTCCATTCCTTGTGTTCTTTAGCCCAAACAAGTCTCCTCTGCTTGTTGCCTGTCCTTAGCAGTGGTTTCCTAGCAGCTATTCTACCATGAAGGCCTGATTCACACAGTCTCCTCTTAACAGTTGTTCTAGAGATGTGTCTGCTGCTAGAACTCTGTGTGGCATTGACATGGTCTCTAATCTGAGCTGCTGTTAACCTGCGATTTCTGAGGCTGGTGACTCGGATGAACTTATCCTCCGCAGCAGAGGTGACTCTTGGTCTTCCTTTCCTGGGGCGGTCCTCATGTGAGCCAGTTTCCTTGTAGCGCTTGATGGTTTTTGCGACTGCACTTGGGGACATTTTCAAAGTTTTCCCAATTTTTCGGACTGACTGACCTTCATTTCTTAAAGTAATGATGGCCACTTGTTTTTCTTTACTTAGCTGCTTTTTTCTTGCCATAATACAAATTCTAACAGTCTGTTCAGTAGGACTATCAGCTGTGTATCCACCTGATTTCTGTACAACACAACTGATGGTCCCAACCCCATTTATAAGGCAAGGAATCCCACATATTAAACCTGACAGGGCACACCTGTGAAGTGAAAACCATTTCAGGTGACTACCTCTTGAAGCTCATCAAGAGAATGCAGAGTGTGTGCAAAGCAGTAATCACAGCAAAAGGTGGCTACTTTGAAGATACTAGAATATAAGGCGTATTTTCAGTTGTTTTATACTTTTTTTGTTAAGTACATATTTCCACATGTGTTAATTCATAGTTTTGATGCCTTCAGTGTGTATCTACAGTGTCAATAGTCATGAAAATAAAGGAAATTCATTGAATGAGAAGGTGTGTCCAAACATTTGGTCTGTACTGTATGTAAATGATTTATTGAGGACACTGTGAGTATCATTGCGTCAGAGAAGCTTCTGGCTTTGAGCAGATTTCAGTGCAAAGTTTTCTCCTCCTCCTCTCTTTTTGATATTTGTCTATAAAGTTTTATCTTTTCTAGAGTTATATCAGTGTTTTGGGGGGTGTTTTTCTACAGAAAAGTTCCGTCACAAAGAAAACTGTTGATCTTCCTGAGCATGCAAGTTCTTTTTCAACCTTCGAGAACAGAATAAAACAATTCACAGCGTTTCTAAGCAAACACAGCTGGCATATAAAAAGTGGTCATATATGAGTTGTTTCTTTGAACCGGAGGCTCCTGTACATACTCACCTCTGTATATACGAAGAATTCATTACAGATGGAGAGAACTGCTGCTTACTAGCATTGTTAGCGTCACCTTTTGAGTCAGATGGCAGTTAGCTAACGGTCTAATAAAATGTTTTCTATCACCTTAACATGTAAATATGTCTTACTGAATGTTTTATACATATGTATAAGGAACAAACTGTAAAAAGCTGTAGATTTATTTTGAGAGTAAGATTAGTTTGAACCTATAGTGGAGTATTAATGTAAAGAAAAGTTTAAGTTTTCTTCAGGTATAAATTTCACTTCTTCATCAAAATCTTTGACTTTAGTCTTATAATGTCCTTTTTTCTCTACACTGGCCCCTCATCCTGCATTAATTTGCCTGATGTGTTTAAAAACCCCTCTGTTGCTTATCCTCAATTATTTCTTTTAATTTTGACACCTCAGCTCCAGATGATTTTCATTATTTTGGAAAGTCTGTCTGTGTATTTGCAACCTTCAGTGGCATAATTTCACCTCCACCTGAGCACATGAGAAACTTTTTCTATGAAAATGTTCTAGTTTTGATTAAAATAGTAAAATATGCAGGATGTGTCCCATTCAAGATTTTGGAAATAGAAATCTCAAATTTCCCCAGCAGAAACTATTTAGGTAATAACTGCAAAATTCAACAATTTTCAGAGTATTTAAGTAATGACATTTCACAGTTAATTCAGCTGTTTTTATTTTCTGTAAATCCCCTATCTGCGTTATTGACTGGTTCTAGAGCTGAAGTCCATTCGTTTTGATGTAATTTGCCTTGTAATAACTTTATTTATATGGCACCATTAAAAAACAAAAGCTTTACTAAAACCCTAGAACCTCAGGCTGCGTTTAAGTTCGTAAAGGATTCTCATGTCAAAGATGTCATCAGGAGCCAGCTCTGAGCATGCCTTGAGAGTAGTCATTGCATTTATTTTTTTAGTCAAGTCTCTGCTGTTCTTTTTTCTATTGATGTGTATGTTATCATTATTGTGAGATCTAAAGAGCTCTCAAAGACCTTCAGGATAGAAAAAGGTGTTGGGGATATGTTTAAGATCTGCAGATAAATTATAAATTAATCATAACTCAGCTGAAGAAAATCATCTGAAAGTGGTGCAGATTTCAAACAAACATGTCTAGGACTAGCTGACCACAAAATTTCGGATTTACAGTGCACACATTCGACCTATGTGAGAGGAATGGCAGGAAACCGTCTTCGCTGTTAAAATAGAAATGTCATCACAGTTACCCAAAGCCTTAAGTGAAACAATGTCAAACCTTGTTGTGTTTGTTAAGCCAGCATCCCAAACCTCAGAACTATTAACAGTGATTAAAAAAGAGGAGAAGTGCAACCTGACATCTGAGGAGTCAGGGTCTTAAGAGGACTGATATGTGCTGACACTGGGGGCTGTGTTGAAGGTTTGAGTTTGTCTTTTGAGAGATAGCTACTGTATGTGTACTGTATACAGTCATGGCACAGCGTTGTTATGATATAGGTGGGTTTAGTCAGCCAGATGGTCTCACTGTGTGCTAACAGACCACTGGGGCATTTCCTGTTGGCACAAAGTCATAAAGTGTGTCACAAGGTACAGTCCACTGAGCAGCAGCCTGAAAAAAAAACATGTATATTCCAGTATTATAACTGTGATTGTTGGGATGTCAGTGTAAGCCAGTTCAGATAATTTACCAAGAGCTGATCTGACTACAAAGGTGAAAAGCAACAGCTACAGATGTAGTGGATATCTTTTTATGCTTATTATTATATCACAATGCCAAAATGTTTTTAACGGGCGCTACAGGAGACGGCTGCCTCTCGAGTTGCTCCACAACACCGAGCGTTTTTTTTCCTTGTTTTTCTTAGATATTTTCAGATATTTTTCTACTTTTTCTACTTTTCCTTTGGTCTTTACATATTCTATGGATACTTATGTAACCCTTTTAC